TATGAAAACCGTATCCCAAAATACTTTCCAGAGTATCTGGAATAAATCACAGGAGAATACTTGTTATGATACAGTACAAATGTAGTACATTGTACTGTGTACAGTACAATTTGTATTTAATGCACTTTCTGAGACATATCTATATGGCTTTTATTGATGTTTACAGAAATCTTACTAGTTTCTAATGTGGTAGTATGAATTAACCCAATCTCAAATTGACAAAATTTATAGTGAAGTGTTACAGTCTTTTCAGTCAGATTTGTTATTATCTATGCTAATATACATTGCTGCTGATTTGACTGGAAAGCTCTACATTGTCATGTAACACAATTATATAAATACTGTTCCTCTCCTGTTCTTCACAGTTACCAAATTTAGATGAGTAATCCAATCAAATGATGGTCATCCAGTTCACTGCATGTCAAAATGCTCTTCTAGCATAGACTTCAATCCTTATTTGTTTTAGAAAAAAAAAAAAAATCATCAGTCAAGACAGAATTTACATAGAAAACTTCTACAGGAAAAAAATCAATGCTTAGCTGCAGTCTTGGTAAAGTCTTGAGCAGGTGATCATCATTTTTCAAGAGCTAAAATAGCTTGCAGTATTTTCAGAAGAGATCCTCAGGAGTGTATGAAAAGTAGAATGAAGATCCTTTTGTGTCAGAACAGCATTTTGATACTTCATCCTGCTCTCTCCTACCATTCACTGAGCACCTCACAGTCATCAGTTTCTGTTTTCTGAATTCTGACCAAAACCAGAGGGATAAAGTATTTTCTTTTTTAAACTTGTCAGTTAATGTATTTTACAAGAACGTACATTTCCTTTATAAATACCACCTTCATCCATTCATCTTAAGTTTGAAGGTAACTGTCACAAACCACGGTTCAGAATTAAATTCCTAAAATATAGAGGGGCACAAAAAATGCTATAAAGGCATTATGAAATGAACTAAAGCTGCACGCCTAATGGACATTAATATGGCCAGTTGGGATCAGTTTTTAGCGTCTTTCTCTTCAGATACTGTCCAAGTATTTGCTGTTACCAGCCAGTAGAGGGAGACAGGATTACACACGTAAAAAACTTGTCCCTGAAATCTGAGTTAGGTCATTACCCATCATCTTTTGGGTTCATCAATATTTAAATGTTTTCTCATTTAGAATTTCACTTCATGATATTAGTTGTTCATAACCATAATTCATTTAGTTATTGATCAAGTTAACTGTTATTTGGGAACATTGCTCGGCAAAACCAGTCTCCCAAATTCACTCAAGCAAGTTTTGATGAACTTCATTTAATCAAAAATACCCTATGCACAGTTAAGACTACAGCTTTTCCATGTGTCAGCTGTGTCCATGTCTTTGGTATTCAGGTACAAGACAATTCCTCTGCTTTGCATAGTGAGAGGGTGCTTTGTCTGAGGACTCTTTTTATAGGGAGCAGACTTCATTCTCGGGGACCACCTCCTCAAGCCCTTTCCCACTCTAGAGGTTTTGCACCTTGAGAAGCTATTTAAGCAAATGTGCGGTATTATGCCTGTTTACTAATGTGACAGCTGGAGGGTCTTCTTTGCCCTTTTGATATCTATGAGATCTTTTGTACTCCCTCATCACATGTGAAGTAAACAGAGCTATTAGAGCTATAAAAACTAACAAAGCTTTTAGAGCTATTAAAACTAACAATGTATTTTTTTATTATTCTTTTTAAAAGAAACGTTGAGCAGCTGTTAATGTTCACAACTTCTATACCAGTGAAGATCACAGGCTTCCTTCACAGAGTAGATAATTTACCTTTTTGTTAATGGCTTTGTTTGCAACTATTTCTTGATTTTTGTGCATAATACAACCCATAATACTGTGTTTGACTTTTTAGAAAGAATGACCATTTTAAGTTCTCAGGAATTGAACAGGTCACAAGTTAAAAAATAGCTTTTGTGCAAACAGAGGATGATCTGAGCACAAAAGCTAGAGAAGCTTGAGCTTCCCATTTTATTTTGTATATGCTTTGATTGTATCAAGTAATTAATGTTCCTGCAAGATACCTGTACCACATCAAAACAGGCTTTATTTAGTAGTTAAACAGCACAGCTACAGAATAAACAAAGTTCTCTAACATATTCAGAAACCCATGAAATAATGCAGGAGTAAGACTTGGATTATGAGGTCAATATTATTATTTTAAATACAACTGTAATGAGTATACTTAATTTGAACAGACAGTACTGAATTTAAGAGCTTGCATTAGACTGAAGATAAAAGCAATCACTTTGTGAAGCCCTGTGGCGAGGTGAATACCTCCTGGGACTGATATTCAATACAACAACAATATTAATCATACAAAACATAAGTTTTTTGTTTTCTATAGCAGTTACTGTAATAAAAATGTCCTTCATTCATGTTAATAGAACTACAAGAAAATATTTGTAATTCATTTTAGTTCACCGAGACTGGGAGATCAAAACAAGATGAAAATAAATATACCCTCTATATATTTAAGTAAGTTCAGTAGTAGATGCAGTCGTTCCTGCTCGTACTTTCAAGTCAAGGATAAGATTTTAAGTGCTTTGGGGAGAGGAAAAAAAAAAAAAAAAGAGTACTCAAAAATCAAAATCCTGATTCAGGATTACTATTGCTGTACGAATTGCAGGGACTGCTGCAGGTTGCTGTAGGCAAAATTCTGTTTAATGCAAATTCCTTCCTCTAATGGAACAGTAAATAAAAAGTGACAGGGATTTTCCTACACAATTACTACTGAATCTATCACCAGTAGTCACTCTGTCCCATGACTGAGGAAGTGCAAACCAATGCCTCGGTCCAACACAGCAAAATCCATTATAATCTGCTCTATCGCTTATTGTTTTGAGCAACAAACACAACATTCATCTGCACGCATTGGGGGAATTGTTTGAAACAGCCCAGCTGCATCTCTCCCTCCCAGCAAAAGAGTGCTGGTTACAAGTGAACTTATTCCAGGTGAACAGAGCCCTCGACTATACCATGTCTCTGTGACAGACTAATGCCTTCCGCCAGCATAGTTTCAGATACTGCTTCTAGTAGTATTGAAAATAAAATATATTAGAGCTTCATTACACAAACAGAATTACAACACAATTGGAGAAAAAAAACCTGTACAGCTATACAACGCCTTCTTCACAGGCATACGAAGTAACACATTGCACTAGACAGCTTCTAAAGAAGCAATATTGACTGCTGTTTCACTCATCCTGCTTCTTCCATACCCCCCTCACAGTCAGTGTCAGTAGTAACTTCAGATACAAAGTTACTAAAAACCTGCTTTCCTTAGCAAGACTCCATGCTGCTGTTCTTCTCTATGACTTGATAAAAATTTATCTAATCAAGCTGCAAAGGCGCAAGATGTTTGCTCGTATTTAGAAAGCACGTGGACTTGGATGCTCAAGATGTACTGTTCTTTGTGTTAAATTCCAACACTCTCTTGAATGGGGTGTATGTCTTCATTGGCCTTGCGCTTTCAGGAGATCTTCTGTTCTCAGTACTTGTACTGTTAAGGAGACAAGAAAAAGCTCACAGAGTTAATGTCAGAGTATCAGACAGCTGGGCTGGAAATGCCACGGCAATGAACTTGTGCCTTGTTACTGATATTGACGGGCTAAAATAAAACTATTCAGTGTATTTGATGTTCCACATGTCTTTTCTATAATGCCACAGAGAATATTTGACAAAAACTGGCACGTACTAACAAGTTCACATGCAGGCATCTGCTGGAGCTTATATTAGAATGTCTAGCAATGCAGCTACTAGGACTAAGGATCTTGCAACAATAGGGACAGCAATACTATATTTAAGATCATAATTAATTGTGAGGGGTAATTCCATAAAATCTACACTGCACAGAGGTAAATTTCTGTGTAGAGATAAATCTCAAAAATAGGAAAAATATCAGATAAGTAGGGGCTGTGGTTACATACAGAGGGGCCCCAAATGATGTCAAACGACTAAAGAGGAGGATAGCGGAAGAACGCAAGGAACCTAGTTTTGGGACAACATCGAGAGGACAACAAAGAGAGCTTTCTGTTGGCACCCTGAGTGAAAAACACTGTTTTTGAGGTTTCAAAACTCATGCCATTAAAATATGCTGTAAGCTTTAAGTTGGGAAGGAAATTTTAGTTTGTATTGCAGCTTGCTGATTCCATATGCTAATTCACATTCCTCAAACTAAATTATTCAATTTGCAGGGCAGTTAAGATGAACAAGTTTACTTGTTGGTACTAAAAATAGGGTGCAATGGTCCTCCTTACCTTACTGTTTTGGTTTCTGTTTTGCCCTTCCCTGTGGTGACTTGTTGGGGGAAAGATTCAAGTTCAAGTCCATAGCTTTGCTCCCAGGGCTCAGTACAACCCTGCTGCAGTGTTCAGGGCAGAGAAAGGGGAGGAGAAGACGGGGAGGCACAATACCTGGATCTTTACAAGGCCAGGCTCCAGAGCCACTGGCCACCACCGATCAGAGACAACCATCCCAGTGGTAATGTTACCGGGCTGTTTACTGGGCAATCCTCCACCTAGGGCTAAGATATCTCCAGAAACTGCTGCAGCTCTGAACTATTACTGTTGGTGCTACCTGCCCTTTAAAATGGTACTGGATGCATCTCCCGGAACACAGAGAATAAAGCATGCATGAAGCCAGCATTAACCAGCCTCAGGGTAGAGCTGTCCTTTGTCTTCTGCTGCGCTGCCAGCAGACACACTTCATCAATATTTCCCATATTTCACAAAGTCAGATCTCTTGACTTCTAGCTTTACTCCCTGTTTAAATCACGCTACTGTAAATAAGTATTCCCCACGGGTTTGCAATATGTTTGCATCTTAAAAAAAACCAAAAAATCCTGTTCTGTAAGTCACTGAAGTACACTGCACCTAGCAGATGTGCTCTCTCTAACAGTTTCTTAGCGCAATGGCTTACTAATACAGCACCAATAAGGGACATTATGAAGAAGTTTCGTATGAACAAGCAGAAGAAGTAAATACCTGTATGGAAGATCACATCCTACACCAGTATCTCTGGTTTCTATGTTGGTCTTTTGTTGGTTTTCCATTAAGTAGTCCAATTTATCTTGTAATTCTTTATTCTAGAAAGCAGCATTTTTCATCACAGGTTTATTTTATCTAAATTATGTTAATTAAACAAGGAAATAAAATTGCATATTGGCTTTCCCCACAAGAAATAATGTAAAAGTATTTATTGAGAAAATAAAGGAATCCTTACTTCTGAAAAAAAAATGATACCAACAGTTTTATTCAGAAGCTTCTGTTTTAAATAATTATAATACTGTTACAAAATTGTATGTTAAGAAACTCAGCATGAATGTTGAGACTTTGCATTACATACATTCCTCGTGACTGGTGTCAGAAGTTTGATTTCCATGCTGAAGAACAGCAAATACATATAGTAAATATGCATCCAGATAACATCAGGTGACATTGGTTCAAATTTTATTTGGTTTCATAAAATAATCACAATAATATAAACTAAAAGGTAATGCCTTACCTCACATTCTAAGAAAGATATTTTTTCTAAAAGCTGTATTATAAATAATTCCTTTTCTTTTACTTTCTTCTTTAGCATTTCAATCTGTGAAGAAAAATAAAACAAAGACATTTAGTTTAATGGGGATCGGTGGAGGAGGAAAAAGACCACAGAAAGAAAACATTCTTCAGCAACAACTGAATATTTATAGATATTCACAAACTGCTTTAATCCATGGATTAGCTATCATACCGTCCAATTAGGATTGTTTATATAAAGATGATAGATGTATACTAACATGGCTTTTAAGAATTTGTATTTTTCTGGAAGGAGAATGGAAACTCAAACTTTGTCATGTAACAAAGCATGCTAGGGAAAACTCCATCTTTGATTCAAAGGTCTTTACTCTAGTCAATTTCAACTACACCCAAAAATTTGTTGCACATTTGCTGTTTCTTGAAGGTCTGATTTGTTCAGTCATTTCCTGGCATACCAGACTCCTTGAAAAAAAGTGCATTTTCATTTTATACCTAGGGAATGGAAAGAAGTTATTTACAACATTAATGAAAATTAAAATGAAGTTAGCTGCACCAGAAGCATTGCATCTTAATACTGTTCTATATGGAACAGAAAACAATATTCCTTGTATTCTGGGACTTCTGCTGGTCATAGAGCCATACAACAAGAACTTCTGCATTAAATCTTTCTCCGCTACCAGCATAAGCAGGTATGACCAGAGAAACTGGGTATGACCCAAATTTCATACCAGTCCCTTGCTGCTGGCCCAAAGTCATTCTGACTGCGTGGAAATGGCTTTCTAAAGCTCCTAAAGCCACAGTTGTCCTTTTCGATTCTTCTGAACCCTTTGCTTAAAAGCAAGATTTGCTGTGTGATATTCATAGTGTTATCAGCAGTAGTCCAAGGGACCTGTTGACTGGCACAGAGGTCAGTTCCTTTCAGCTGACCCCATTTAGGAGACAATAGCATCTTGTGCAAACAAACTGAATTTTCTCCTTGGACCAAAGGAAAAGTCACTTGTTACTCTCTCTCAGCCCCCGCTGACTACACCTACTAAAATAGCGGCTAATAAAAAGAGCAAAACCGAACAATAGCTACATAACAACTTCAGTTGTTACTGCTTCCCCGGGAGGCAGTTCGGGTTATTACTCACAGCCAGCTGTAGACACACACCACTTCACAAGCTCAGAAGACAAGGTGCTTCCTGTATCTGTAGTTACAGCCTACTTCAGATGCACAAAGCAGTGTCTGAAATATTTCTAAGGAGAATCATCTGAAGTGCACCAAAAGATCAGTTTGAGGGAGAAAAGGGATTCTGCAACATGTTTGCGTGCAGGTAGGAAACTGGGAGAAGATGGATTTCCCACTGTGTTCTGTGCTCATGCAAGTCTTGGCCTACAGCAACAGCAACGAAAGCTAATAGCAGTGGATACTCTTTTTGCTCTCAGCGTTAAATGGTGTCAGGTCAGTGATTTTTCCAATTAAATTTCAGTCCACCTTTCTTGAACAAGCCATTTCAGGTCAGATGACATGAAAGTCAAACCCCCTACTTTCCCCCTATTAAGTCCATGGGAATGTGTCTCTCAACTGAGGTGCTGCAACATCATTAGCTAAACCCCTCCACCTGCTCCACGCCAGCTCTCTAACTAGGCAGAGCTCAGCCAAGAACTTCTGCTCTACCAAACAGTGCATTAGCTAAGGCAATTGTCTCCACAATTCATTAAAGTAAATTAAAGATATTAGAAGTTTCTGATCTTAAGCCTGAAAGCAGAATGAGAAGTAAATCAAGCTAGTAAATGGATAGTCCGCATCACAAATGAAATGCCAGAATCTGCCATGCACTTTTAGTAAGGTCTTTATTATTGTATATATTAAAAAGTGCGCCCCTTAAAACTATGTTAGATGAGGAAAGAAAGATATTCAAACTGCCATCACAGCACTAGAAAAGTGTATCCTGCACATTCCTTCACATTTTAGGGCAAAATGCCGATGGTGAAAAAAACCAGATCCATGTCTGCAGCTTTTTTGTCACAAGAAAACTATAAAAATACCTATGCATAGTAAAGAATAGGTATTTTCTGTAAAACTTCACAGTAAGTGAGGTAGCTTTATTTGGTCAGGTTATTGATTGGCTGTGGGCTTCATTGATGCCTGCTGTAGGTGACCCTGCTTCGGCAGGAGGGTTGGACTAGATGACCCACAGAGGTCCCTTCCAACCCCGAACATTCTGTGATTCTGAGATTCTGTGATACAATTTTAAGGAACAAAAGTATTCATTAGTAAAAAATTTATTGGACTTTTACTAAAGCAAATTCATTTTGTAGAACAGCCAAACTGAAATCAAGGCAAGCTCAGAATACATTAATATTCCCTGGCAGTCATGTTACATTGATATGCAAGAAAGACCATTTTTAAATACTTGGGTCAAATTTTCCATGCACTCTCACCAGTCACTTTTAAACTCTGTATCTTAAAATCAATTTTGTGAAAGAACATTAACAAACCCCTTCAAAACCACCAGTGTAAAACTTTTCAGAACGTCTGGAAACAGTGATTAGTAGAAATATTCACATCTTGCTAAAAGAGAATGATGAAATACTCAAAGGTACAATAATCAAAATAACAGTAGTACTATCAGCCTCCCAAAAATTTACTGCTAGGTATTGTAACACATTTTAACCAAAACATACAGAACTAAGAAAAAAATGAAGCAAAACAAATGCATAAATTAAAAATGAAAAGCTATAAAACCAACTCAAATTTAACTTAGTTGCCATCATCTTGAGTTATCACATCTCATTGACACAATGATCAGCTGTTACTTGGAAGAGCTAAAATGTCAGCTCCATACAGTAAGTGTTTTCAGCTGAACAGTTACAGAATATGAGTGCTACCATCATCCATCTTTCGCAAAATCAGGTATTTGCTTTTTTTTTTCCTTTTACTTCAAAGTACATGTAAAAACTATCAATGTCATCTAAAACCATTATAATTTCAGTTTTCAAATCACACAAACACAAAGATTGTAGTATTTTCAGAAAATCACAGAACATATTTTGATCTTCATATTTAATTACAACTTTGTTTAATAGTATGACTAAATTAAGTCTGCTATATCTTCACTGGTTCAATAGCTTCAGTCCTGCAAACAAATTCCACTTCAGAAAAGATAAACTGTTCTTTTAGGACTTCCAAGTGGGTCTTCTCTATTAACATTCTGTTCTCCTACCATGCATACAAGGAAATAATTTTAAGACTAGTAATCAGTACAACACAAAGACGACTGAAGTCAAGCATAGCTATGTGATCAGGGGAGGGTTTTGCCCTGACAGATAGCCATTCTTGTCATTGAAGATAATATACCTCATCAGCTGCCTATTCTGGTTTTTACATCAAACACAAAATATTTCTGTTTCCAAATAAATGATTGAATTATCTATTAACCAAAAGCAAGACCAAACTCTATGTGTTTCGTAGCCATTTATCTGAAGTTACATTCACTCTATGATAAAAAGGCTCCAAGATGTGAAATAAACTGTGAGAGTAACCATTGTTTACCAGTGTTATATACAAAAAGATTTACTGTAAGTTAAAATTAAATTTACATTTGTTTATTCTTCACATTGGCTACGGAGACACAAACTCCCTGAGGATGTTTTTGAGTTATTTAAACTAGAATAGTCTGAAGGCAAAAATGAGTGTGGACACCTTAAAATCTAACAGAGAATACAAAAGGAAGACCTTGAGGGACAGCTTTGTCCCTTTCCCAAACACAAACCTGAACTCCAAAAAGACATTTTGTAACTTGGCAGGAATGTTACCGCTTTTACTTGTGTGTGTGTGTGTGTGCGCGCGCGCGTGTGCATGTGTGTGTGCGACTGAACCATACACAACAGCACTCCCCGCCTCATTTTAACATGTTTACATAGTACCAGTCAGAACCCATTAAATTAGTCTACTTTGTCCCTCTGAAGAATTATGCCAGACTTTTACAAAGCGCCTTCTTTTCTACAGTACGGACAAGAGACAATGCAGTACTATATCATCACATGCATAAAGTCTTAGTCTAGCAGTAAAACAAAATGGAATGATTAGACCATGCAGATTACAGATACGATAAGGCTGTGAATTGGGTAACTTAAATAAAACCTTTGGGTGGATCTTTTGAACATTATGAGCTCAAAGACACAGCACACAGACCAAATACATTCCAGGAGAAATAAATTCAGCAGTGGCTAAAATGAGAGGGGCTGTTACAGCACCAGGAAAAAAGTCCTGCAGTCCCTGCTTCTCAGATGCAGCAGAGCCACCCTTCAAGGCTGCTGCAGAGGGAAAGCAGGGCCAGAATGCAGCAGGGCACCCGTATTGCTTCATACGGGCATGCTGCACCCCCAGACACGGGGCCAAGTCGTTGTCTCAGCAGCTGCTGCAGTCCAAGGGCTGAAACAACTTCCAAAGTTATGACAAACCTTTAAACCTATCCACAGGCCTGACACATAGGACATATCCCACCAGAGTAGTGTACTACAAAAAGTTTATTTACTGAATAAGGACCTGAGTACACATCATCTTATGCCATTAGCACCAGGAGTAAGCAAACCTGATTTGATTAATCCTTGAGGGAATATCTCACAGGTAACCAGGAAAAACAAGAATAACTTTAGGGAATTACATTAATATATTACTATATTAAATAAAATGCAACCTTAATTCAATACATTTATATAAGTCACACTGCATGAAGTAAAAGTGATGGTTTCCTTTGAGAGAGGAATGTAACAAGAACACTGGATCACAATGATGATATTGGGTAAAAACACTTCAAAAATAAAATTCATGCCTTGTTACCTAATGTCATTTTGATTTTTCCATAAAACTGTTAGTTACAGCAAACAAAAATAAGATGATAACACACCACCATAAACCTGTATTGCACAAATCCAAGTTTCAAGAGTGTCTTTGTTTCAAGGAGTTGCATAAAGCAAGAGAACAACTAGCAGGTGACAGAGCAATAGATTTTTACTTTTGCTTGAATATAAGGTGAGGAGAAGCAAGACAGATCAAACACAATACTGAACTGAGGGCCT